CGCATCTTTAGTACTGAACATCCCAATTTAATTTGATATTGTATTTATTATGTTTAAACTAAATCTATTCGTATTTTATACTGTAGCTTCCGGTAGTTGTTCCCAGTCATAATGAACCTTGCATGCAGAGTCTAAATGATTCACTTTCATCGGACTCTTCAGAAGAATTTATTGCTACTACCAGTCAATGTTCATCTCAATCCAGTGAAGAGTTTACTGAACCTCCCAGGAAAAAAATTAAGTCAGTCTCAAATTTCATACCTGTAAGTATCTTTTTGTTTTTTCTCACTTGCCTCTCTTGTACAACTATTTATTTCTAACATTAATAAGTAATGCATTCAATCAAAAGACCGAACTAATTGGTACATTTTTTTGAAGAGCAGTATAAATAGTAAGAACAAATGGCTCTTACAGAACTTTTCCAATAGACATTTTCTAATTGAGCTCAAACTAACATACACCAACCAGAAAGCATTTTTCTACTGTATGTACTCGCATGTCCTATTAAAAGCATAAACTGTACTGTTTTCTCAATTTATTTTTTGAGACATTAATGCAAATGAGACTTGTCTTTGATTCATGTGAATAATTTTAAAACAACATGTACTGTAGTTGTGTTACAATTTATTCAAGAAAAGTATATTTCACAGCATGTTCGTGCCTTGCTGGAGTCTTCTGTTGTCGGCGAATCACTAATTAAAGAGATAGAGGAAGGAGAGCTTACAAGAAAAAGTAGACTCAAGTTTGTTAGATTGGTTGTGGCTAAAATAATTGAACAGTTTGGAGATATGTGCGTAATTCAATAATTTTGTTCATTTCAGATTTCTTATTAAGATTTGAAGGTAAATAAAATCCTGGCAGGCAAATGTGTATTAAAGGTGTACAGGTTTGGTAGAAGATATTGGTTACCATCAGGGCTAGCGAAATTTTTTATTTTGAGGTTGCCCTTCGAGCAGATTGATCTCAGAATTTGGTCGCCCTAAATAATTTTAACTTGCCCATATCCATTGATTGATAGTTTTTCATCAGAATCATGTATCTTTTTATTCAAAATTTGGTCTATAATTTGGTTGCCTGTCGGGGACACATTTAATAAATTATGGTTGCCCTACATCATTTTTGGTTTTCCTGGGACGTTAAGCAGGCTATTCTGCAAGCACTGACCATTTCACATAATCCTGAAGGATGAGTTTATTATTGCTTCATGTCTTGTATATTGTAAAAGAGTACACAGTATTCATGCAAGACCAAGTGTGTCATGTCATCTCTGTTAAATATCATGTGATTGATGAATTTATTATGTTTTACACTACAGACCCAAATGTGAAGTGAAAACCATGATGGCAAAAGCTATTGTTGAAGAATTTCCTTCGCTGAAAGATGAAGAAGGGCAAGGATTTGTAAGTTTATGTCTACATTCCATCAAACAGTTTGTATGTTAAATTGTTTTCAGATATTTTGGACAATAACCTGGTTCATGTCAAATTTATATCTAGATAATTAGAGCCACTTATCCAGATAAACATTAGACATTAACTGATTCTTCTATCTGGATAATAGATTAAGCCATATATCGTTAAGCAGCTTAACAGTCCCAGACTAATGGTAGATACTGTATCCTGCTTAACTTGACTCAAATTTCAGACATTTTGTACAATACCCTCAACCTTCCTGTTTAGTAAAGAC